GAGACAAGATAAATCTGGGTTGGTTGCTTGAAGCACATCTACAGTGAGGTAAGTTCCAGTTAAATGGGTGTTTTGGTGACTTTGTATATTTTCATAGTGGAGTTTAGCAGCAGTGTAAACCATAAAAGAAAAGTTCTTCCTTGTCTAAGAGAGTAATCAAAGAAAAGTATTCTAACTCTAGAACAATATAGCAGCTATCTTCCAAGACAGTTATGTTCAGTGAAAATTAATATAGCAGCTATCTTCTGAGCCAGGTTATGTTCGGTAAAAATTAATATAACAGCTATCTTCCAAGACGAATATGTTCAGTGAAAATTATTCAGCAGCTAGGAATTGAACTGGCTTTTATTTTTGCTTTCTGCCAGAAGGCACCAAATGTTACAGTAGGGAGGTCTTCTTTTACTTCTTACTATAATAATGACATGGCTATAGAGATCCTTTACAGGTTTATAGCAGTGTCCAAGAGGGAAGTATAGTAGCTTTAACTATTTAGCAACTATACTCTTCTCTGGGCAGTTCGGTTAAGATAATACAACAGTTTATAACTTTATTACTTGGGAGTGATAGACCTTGCCTGTAGGAATTACCCTAGAGGGGGAATATCAATATAGTTTATAGATAAAGGTAATAACTTTATTAAAGGAATAAGGCTATCTATTAGGTTTCTGTTCCTAAGAAATCCTTTTACACTTTACAAGAGTTACTAAACTAAAAGGTAGAGAGAGAGAGATATCTGTAATTTGCTTGACTTGAGGAAATTCTTGGGGTTTATATATCTGTTAACACTGTTAAAGCTAAGCATCAAAGCTTAATAATTATTAGGGCAAAGCGTCAGATGGCAGGTGTCATGTGTCAAGCATCAAGCATTAAGCGTCAAGCGTTAAGTGTCAAGCATCAAGCATCAAGCATTAAGCATCAAGCATCAAATGCTGTATTTGTTCTACCTACTATAACTAAATAATAATAATAACTAATGCTAATAATAATAATAATAATACTAACAATTAATAATAAAATATACATTTATGAAACTATACTAAAATATAATAATAAAATTCATTCTATAACACTGCTATTCTTAAATACACTTAACAAGCAATAATTGGCTTTTCATAGTATTAATAAATAACAAAAAAATAGACATATTTTGGAAAACATATCACAAAGCATTATCTTTAGATTATCATTTAAAATATATAAACTTTTTAATTGACAGAAGTTGCTCATAGTATTTAGAAGAGCAATAAATGATAAACTACTTTGCTATTTACTAGAAGACCAGTAAAGAGATCTAAAATAAAGCATATATTTTTTTATAAACAAGCATACAAAAAACACTTCTATTCTCAATTAAAAAAATATTTAATATCAGTAACAGTAAAAGTTAATACTATTCACAAATTAATACTAAATATGAAATTTGATATTGCTACATATTAGCAAGATAGAAAAACAACATATATGTAGTTATAATAATTTCTTTAATAGTAGCTAAGTGTCTGGCTAATGAAATTAGAGTTCTGTTTAAAAATATCAGTAAAAATTCAAAAAAAACTAAGCTTTTTAAATGTTTAAAAAAACTAAATATTCTTGTATATTAGCAATAATTAATAATAAAAAATGTTATCTGATTTGTTAATAACACTTATTAGAAATAATATAATAATTAGTTTAAAGACAGTATTAACAGATTTCTAATAGCTCAAAACATGTGTATAGTTATGTTTGTATTACTAACTTTTTATAATCAAGTTAAAGTTTTTCTTTTTTATATAGTTTTTTAATAAATAATTTAAGTAAATAGAATTATTTCTATTTAGTATAGTTTATAATTTTTAAAAAACTTAATACAAGTTTATAATTGTGACTATCTAATATTTATGAATTGCAAGTTTTATATATATATTTTTTTCATTATCTTTTTTTTTTTTTATTTTTTAATCTGTATTTCTGTTTTGTTTTTATAAAAAAATTTTTTTGTTTTTTGTTTGTCTATAAAAAGATATTATTAAATTAGCAATGTTCTATTGTAGAGTAACAGTTAAATGAGTAGTTTATCTCTAACTAGAATAGTGTAACAGATTGCATTTAAGTACTATCTAGATGGCTGAGTAATGCTAAACTTGTATATTAGAAAATTCTATATAATTTGTATAGTTTCAAAAATTCTAATAATGTACTAGTATGATTGCTAAAGTTAAAAAAAAAAAAATATATATATATATATATATATAAACTATTATAAATGTATTATAATAAAAGTCTTTTAATAAAGATATGATAATTTAGTGAAGTAGTCAGATTGTTAACCTCCAAGTGGCAGGTCTAGAGTTCAAATCCTATAGACAATAAATTTTGAAAAATAGGTCTATGTTATGGTAACTATTTCTGTCAATTAGTTGAATTAGTGTATCTATAATCTTTAGTTACACTATCTCGAATAGAAGCTCAGAGCATTTATATAAAATGTAATATTACATCTATATAAAGAAATGTTAATAATTGGTGTTGTATAAGACTTTGATGCAAACCTATGATAAAACTACTAGGTGTAGAAAGTGAAAAAACTGAAGAGTCAGAAACTTATTTAAAAATCTTGAATAAGGAGGTAGCACAAAACTTTTGGCAATGTTATCAAACTAATAGAAGCCTATAAAATATCCCCAAAGAGATAAACAGATAAACTAGATAACAAGATGTATAGAAAAGCATATAACCAACCAGGCTACCAGAATTGCTGAAGAAAAAGAATACTATGGTATACTATATTAGACTATCTGAATTGGAAGTTTAGAAAGTCCTGTCAGTTCTAAGTAGTGATTAGTAGAGGATAATAGAGAAGATGTTGGAAAGATAGGTATTAAGGTTTTTGGTGAACCTTACAAAAGTAAAAGCAGTTTAATGATTAGCTCTAACTGCAAGTGATGGTTTAGGCCAAAGTAATACTAGGTAAGCTGTAAGTATAGAATACAGAATATACTAGTAGGTTTAGTACAAAGTTAAATATGACTTAGTGACTATGGCATATTTTCATCAGTTTATTAGAGTTATTGATAGAGTGTAATGGATTCAGAATCAAAATATTTAAATAGAAGACCTACAGGTAGGTTTTAGATATAGCAACTAATATAAAACCTTTAGGCAGACTACTTAAATTAAACAATGACTAAAGTTGTATAAGTGACTAGTTGTATACTTTTTTTATAATTACCTCTGTACTGTTATATTAACAAATATTAGCCAACTAATACTACCAATAAAATCCTAGGTCATATGTATTTACCTTAATATTAAAAAAAAAAAAAAAGTCTTTTAATAAATAAAAATTAAACTTAAAATATTTGAAATCATATATATAATTAAAAAATTATGCATAATTTGAAATCCATTATTATTAGCAGTCTTTAAAGTAATCATAAACTAATTTACAGTTCTTAAACTTAATTATAAACTAGTTTACAGTTCTCAAAATTAAATGTAAACTAGTCTATAGTTCTTAAAGTTAATTGTAAACTAGTTCATAATTCTTAAAATTAGTTATAAACTATTTTATAATCTTTAAAGTTAATTGTGAACTAGTTAATATTTCTCAAAATTAATTGTAAACTAGTTTATAGTTTTTCAAAATTAATTATAAACTAGTTTATAGTCTTTAAAGTTAATCATAAACTAATTTACAGTTTTTAAAGTTAATTGTGAACTAGTTTATAGTTTTTAAAGTTAATTGTGAAATAGTTCACAGTTCTCAAACTCAATTGTGAATTAATTTATAGTTAGAGATAGAAAACATATCTATTTTATATTAATAATATAATAATATACATATTAATGTATATATATTACATATATAAAGAGAAGTCAATAGAAAAGAGCCAAATTTTTTTTAAGTAAAAGTTTTTTTAACTTTAAGCTTAAATATTTTAATAACTATTTTATTAAATTTAATAATTTTTTTATTATTTTAATTTTATATAATTTCAAGATTAAAATAAAAAATTTTTAGCAAATTTAATTAAATAGTTGTTGAGTTATTTAAATTTAAAAATTAAAAAAATTTTACTAAAAATAATTTGTCTCTTTTCTATTGACTTCTCTTATATAGTTTTTTTAATTTTAAATTTTTTTTTGTGTTTATTTATTTTCTTTTTAAAATTTTTAACCTACTGTATTTCTATTTTTTAATTTTACTTAACATTATACAATCAAATTTAAATTATATATATATTAATTTTTATAAATAAAATTTAGATAAAATAAAATATATATGATTTAAAATTAGGAAAAAATACAATAGTAACCTGTTATTATATAATCCTATAAATGATTAACCAATCATGTTAAAAATTAGTAATTATATAGATAACCATGTTTATTTTTTACTAACTTTTGCACTTTTTCTTTTCTAGATGTTTTTTATTATTAGTATCATTGCTGATATCATTAGTTAATTCTTTGTCATTGTTAATGTCATTACTGATATTGTTAGTTAGTTCTTGTTTGTTATTAGTATTGTTATTGGTATCATCACTAGTATTATTAGTTAGTTCTTTGGTATGTATTTAGTTATTAATGTCTTTAATAAGCTTTTCTTTTGTTTTATTTGTTCTTTGTACTAACTTTCACACTTTTTCTCTTTCAGATGCTTTTTATTATTGGTGTTGTTGCTAATATTATTAGTTTATTCTTTGCCATTATTGGTGTTATCACTGGTGTTCTTAGTCAGTTCTTGTTATCATTAGTGTTATTATTAATGTTGTTAGTTAGTTCTTTAGTGTATATTTAGTTATTGACATCTTTAATAGGCTTTTTTTTTATTTTATTTGTTTTTTGTACTAACTTTTATACTTTTTTCTTTCAGATACTTTTTGTTATTAGTGTCATCATTAGTGTCATTACTGGCATCATTAGTATTATTGCTAGTGTTGTTAGTTAGTTTTTTGATATATATTTAATTATTTATGTTTTTAGTAGACTTTTTTTTGTTTTATTTGTTCTTTGTATTAACTTTTGCACTTTTTCTCTTTTAGATGCTTTTCAGCATCACTAGTATCATTAGTTAATTTTTTGTTGTTGTTGGTATTATTGTTAGTATTATTAGTCAGTTCTTGTTTATCATTGGTATTATTACTGATATTATTAGTTAGTTCTTTAGTATTTAGTTATTGATGTCTTTAGTAGTCTTTTCTTTTGTTCTATTTGTTCTTTGTACTAACTTTTGTACTTTTTCTCTTTTAGATACTTTTTGTTATTAGTGTTATTGTTAATATTATTAGTTAATTCTTTGTCATCATTAGTGTTATTGCTAGTATTGTTAGTTAGTTCTTATTCATCATTGGTGTCATTACTGGTATTATTAGTCAGTTCTTTGATGTGTATTTAGTTATTGATGTCTTTAGTAAACTTTTCTTTTGTTCTATTTGTTCTTTGTACTAACTTTTACATTTTTTCTCTTTTAGGTACTTTTTATCATTGGTATCATTACTGGTGTTATTAGTTAGTTTTTTGGTACATATCTGTTAACATCTTTAGTTTAGTGAATTTTTTTTTATTTTATTTGTTCTTAGTACTAACTTTCATATTTTTTCTCTTTCAGGTTCTTTTTGTTATTGGTATTATTAGTTCTTTAGTATGTATTTAGTTGTTACTATTTTTAGTAAGCTTTTTCTTTATTTTATTTGTTCTTGGTCACTTTTTTTTTCTAAATGCTTTTTATTGTTGGTATTATTGTTAGTATTATTAGTTAGTTCTTTAGTGTGTATTTAGTTATTTACATCTTTAGTTTAATGAAATAGGTTCTAATTTGTTATTTAATTAAAGTAGATAGGTAGATGGGTTTTTTTGTATATAGATGTTTGTTATATAATAATGTAAGTTTTTCATATTGTAGTTTAGTGATTGTTTATATAAAAAAAATTTTTTTTAATAAATAAAGTTTTTTATTATATAAATTATTTTTTAAAAAAAATATATTTATTGTTGTAATTTTAGAAATTTTTTTTTTTTAAAAAAAACTCTGTCAAAGTTTAGTAAACAATTTCAGTACAATTTTTGTATAAAATATATTTTAAAATTTTTACTAAACTTTGATTAAAGATATCTTAGCAACCAATTAATCAAATTTGATGAAAAATTTTTTATTCAAATTTTACAGAAATATAGAATTCAAATAAAAAAAATTTTATTAAATTTGATTGATTAATTGCCAAGATATCTTTGATCAAAGTTTAGTAAATAATTTTGATACAGTTTCTGCATAATATATATTTTAAAATTTTTACCAAACTTTGATTGAAGATATCTGACAACCAATCAATTAAATTCAATGAAAATTTTTGTATTCGAATTCTACAGAATTGTAGAATTCAAATAAAAAAAAATTCATCAAATTTGATTGATTGGTTACCAAGATATCTTCAATTAAAGGTTGATAAACAATTTAAACACAGTTCTTGTATAATATATGTTTTAAAATTTTTACCAAACTTTAATTAAAGCTATTTTAACAACTAATCAATTAAATTCAATAAATTTTTTTTATTCAAATTCTATAGTTCTGTAGAATTTGAATAAAAAAATTTTCATCAAATTTGATTGATTGGTTGCCAAGATATCTTCAATTAAAGTTTAGTAAACAATTTTAATACTGTTTTTGTATAAATTATGTGCTTAATTTTGATTGGTCAATTAAGGAGTTGCCATAGTGATAGGTCACTTTAAAATAATAAACTCAAAATTATATATATTTTAATTTAGATAGCTTAGAAGAACTATAATCTGTTTTTAGTATATTAAGTCTAGTCTAATATTCTTTTTCTTTAGTTTAATCTAGTAGTCTAATTGGTAATACCATTTATCTAAAAGTTCTTTTCTGTTTAATTTTTTATATTAGTATTTGTTTCTTAGATTTAGCTTTTATAATAATATTATTAGAAATTCATATTTTCTCTTTAATCAGGTCTTTTCAAGTAAACTTTAATTTTTTTTAGTTTTATAGATTTATATAACTACTAAAACTTATTTTAAGTTTGTATTGCCTAGTACTAGTTTGCATTCTTTTGTATAACTAAGATTATACAAATATTCTATGACTTAACAATTATATTAATGTAATTATAGTTACAAATATTTTATTTTAAATAATCAACAGAATATTATTACTATAATACAATTTATATAATATATAGATAATTATTTAAATTTTTATTATTGATAAGTTTTAAACTCATAACCTACTACTTGAGAAGTTAATAATTTGTTTACTTTACTAAGTTGCTACATCTTTATAATTTGACTTAGTGTATTTGAATTACAACTACATAAAACTAAAAATGTGATAACCTAGTAAAGTGGTTAAATTGTTAACCCTTCAAGTAATAGATTAGATGTTCAAATTCTATCAATAATAAAAATTTAAATAATTATCTATATAATATTTGTATTATAGCAACTATTACTAACAATTAGGTTAGAATACCTGTAATAGTAATCATATTAGCATAACTAACAAGTTATAAAGTATTTGTATAACTGGTTATATAAAGGAATACGAAATAACAAATCAGGCAGTACAAATATTAAATAAGTCCTTGTAGCTATATAAATCTGTTAAAATTAGTTAACAAAAAGTCTATTTAGAAAGATTTAAATAGAAAGATAGTCAGATTTTTAATAATTTTACTGTAAAAACTAGTCAGAGAAAATGAATATCAAGGTTATAGTACTTAGTTATAGTATTCAAATAAGTAAGAACCTTCAAGTTAGAAGTCTTAAAGATACTACTAACTAGGCCATTAGAACAAATTAAAGAAAAAGGATATTAGGTTGATCTAATGTACCAATAGCTAATTATAATTTTATATAGGATATCTGAATTGAAAGTTTAATAAAAAAACAAGTAAAAAAGCAGAAGTATATCAAAATACTAAGATTATATTGTAAAATAGATACTGGAGTCTGTATAAACTCTATAAAAAGAGGGTATAGTGACCTAGTAAAGTGGTCAGGTTGTCAACCCTTCAAGTGATAGATTAAATGTTCAAATCCCATTAACGATGAAAAATTTGGATAATCATCTATGTAATATTTATATTATAGCAACTGTTACTAATGATTGGGTTAGGATACCTATAATGACGATTGCACTAGCATGACTGGCAGGTCATAGGGCATCTGTGCAATATTGGAGTTATACAAAGGAATGCAAACTGACAAATCAGGCAGTGCAAACACTAGATAAGTCCTTGTAGCCATATAAATCTGTTAAAATTGGGTAACAAAAAGTTTATTTAGAAAGACCTGAGTAGAGAGGTAGCTGGATCTTCGATGGCCCTACTGTAAAGGCTAGCTTGGCAAAATAGATACCCAGGTCTAGTACCTGATCCTAGTAGCTGAACAGGCAAGAACCTCCAGGTTGGGAGTCTCAGAGGTACCACTAACCAGGCTGCCAAAATGAACTGAAGGAAAAGAATATTAGGCTGATCTGATATACTAATAGACTGATTGTAGTTCTATATAGACTATCTGAATTGGAAGTTTGGTAAAAGGGCAGAGAAAAAAGCAAAGATATATTAAAGTACCAAGGTTATGCTATGAAGTAGATGCTGGGATCTAAGTGAACTCTACAAGAGCATAGCAGTTTAATAATTAGTCCTGACCACAAGTGTTAGTTCTGCCATAGCAATACCTAGATCAGCTGTAAAAATGAGTACAGAAGGCTCTGAGGGGTTTACCTCGAGGATAAATTAGTCCTAAGGTTGAGGATAATGATCTGGGCATCTGTGATAATCAGTAATATTAACACAGATTACAGGTTCAGAAGGTTTAAAGTGAAACACTCAAGCAGAGGTATTAGGTATAGCAATTGGTAGGAAACCTTCAGGCAGACTCCTTAAATAGATAATATAGAAAAGTTATATGTGTAGCCAATTGTATACTCTCCTGTAGTAGTTCATTGAACCACAATACCAATAAGTGATTAATAAAAGTTAAAAGACCAAAGAGGTTACCTTAATACCAAAAAAAAAATAAAATAAAATAAACTTTATAAAAACATGGTAATTAAATAATATATTTTTAATTAAAAGCCTATATTAGGTTCTGCAGTTTAGCTAGACTTAAAGCAAAATTTTATAATTGTAGATCAGATTAGATCTAAAATTTTATAAGAAATTTTGTAGGCTGAGCTAGACCAAGCTAGGTTAAAGAAAAAATTTAATTATATATGAGTTAGGCTAAACTAGCAAAAAAATTTTAACTCTAAATACAAGCCAGATCAGACCTTAAAAATAGACAATTTGCAGGCTCTTATCTTTGATTACAAGTATTAGTTTTGTTATAACAATATTTAGATTAGTTATAAAAATGAATACAGAAGGCTTTAGAAAATTTACTTTAAGAATAAAATAGTTCTAAGGTTGAAACAATGACCTAAGCTTAATTCAGTTAATGTTAACACAAGTGCAGGTTCAAAAGGTTTAAATAAAACATCTAAGTAGGAATATTAAATATAGTAATTAATAAAAAATCTTTAGATGAACTTCTTAAATAGGTAATATAAAAAAAGTTATATATGTAACTAATTGTATACTTTTTTTGTAATGATTTATAAAATTACATTATTAAAAAAAGTTATTAATAAAAATTAAAAGACCAAAAAAGTTATCTTAAAAAAAAAAAAAAAAAAAAAACTACATGAAACTAATTGATTAACAGAAAACAGTTATAATACAAATTAAAATTTTTTTTTCAAACAGTTATGCTAGTACTTTATTAAGATTTTGAAATTATATTTGCAATTATATAAATGTTCTTAACAACTAATTCTAATATCATCTGGCTATTTTAATAATACCTAAATGCAATCTGTTGTATTGCTTTAAACAAAAGTAAACTATTTGTCTAACTACTTGTTTAACTATTTAAAGTCCATAATAAAAAGGACTTTTTCCTTTTATGATAAGTTTCAAAATTGTCTTCTGTGTTTCTGTTCTGATTTGTTCTTCTTTTTTTCTTATTTTCTCTTTTTTTTTTTTTATCTTTTGCTAATTTGTCTTTTTTTCTTTACTTGATCTTAACTTTTTTTTTTTTTTCTCTTTTTAATTTATCTGTTATTCCTACTTTCTCTTTTTATTTACTAATCTTTTTATATCAGACTCTTTATACTTGTTTGTAAAACATATACTTGCTACTACATTTGTAAACTACTATCTTAACTTTATGTTTAGAAGCTGCTATAATCGATTTTGTATTTCTTTTAGAATTAGGTTTTTAATTAGAGCCTTTCTTATTCTTACTTTTTCTGCTTCTGTTTTACCAAAAAGTGCTATATATAATATATATGAAGATATTCAGACTTTTTCTCCTTTCTAAGTCCTTTCCAGACTGTTACAATGGTTACTTTTTGAATTCTTTTTTACAAATTTCCTTAACCTTGGTATGCTGCTAAATATATCTGTATTTCTTTGACTTTATTTTTGCATACTTGGTATTCAGTTGTTATATATATATCTGGTTTTCTTTTGTTAAGTTCTTCTAAAGTTAGAAATTTGTTTATTATATATTTTATAAATGCACTTCTT